TCCGCTTCAGTAGTCAATAAAGTGACAATTTTTTGCTTTCTAGAAGACCATGAAACAACCCCTGTGCATAGCACAAAAACATAGCATGAAGTGCTCTTTCTATCATCTTGATCTCCTGTGCATAATCTCTATTAGCAAAACCTATCACATAAAAAATTTCACCCGTCTTATAGAACAAACCAAAATCCTTAGTCCCTTGTAATGAGCGAAGGATTCTCTTGGCATCTAGCAAGTGAATTTCTGTCGGACTCTCCATATACCTTCTTATAAGACTTACAACATACATGATGTCAGGCCTTGTAGCATTAAAATACATCAAACTACCTACAATTTGCCTATAAAGTGTGCTATCCACCATATCTCCTCTTCCAACTTTGTTTACCTTCGAACAAAACTCAGCTGGAGTGTCGACGGAATTGCAATTCTTCATCTTGAATCGATCACATATTTCTTTTGTGAAACAAATATCCCATCAAAAAATTGCACTACTTCTAAACTAAGAAAATAATGCATATTGCCAAGATCAGACATCTCAAATTCATTCATCATAGATCTCTTAAAATTAGAAAACATGACACTATCATTCCAGTAAATATAAGATCATCAACATATAAACACACTATGAGCATTTATCCAAGTTTTCCAATTTTAAGAAAAAGAGAGTGTTCATATGGACATTTCTAGAAACCAAATTTTAGAAAGTAAGCCTCAATGTTACTATACCAAGCTCGCAAAGCTTGTTTTAGTCCATAAAGAGCCTTTTTCAACTTGTATACCTTATGCTCATCTCCAACTTTTATGTAACCAGAAGGTTGCTCGATAAATACCTCTTCCTCCAAGTATCCATTTAGGAAAGATGATTTGATATCCAATTGAAGGATGGTCCAGAAATTTTGTGCCCTCACGACAATTATCATTCTAATTGTGTCATGCCTTGCAACTGGAGCAAATACTTCTGTGTAGTCCACACCATGTTCTTGGTTGTATCCCTTAGCCACTAATCGCAACTTATACTTGTCTATTTTACAATTTTCTTTGAGTTTCGTCTTATAGACCCACTTGACACCTATGGTTTTGTGCCCCTTCGGAAGATTTGTTAATTCCCAGGTGTTGTTTCTTTCAATAACATCAATCTCATCATCCATAGCTTTCCTCCGTTTTTCCTCTTTGACACCATTCTCAAAAATTGTAGGATCACAATCTGCAAACAATTCAAAGTTGGAAACATCTTCATTAACATTAATTCCTCTTACCTCATAATCCATCATTCACGCGTTCCTTCTGCAAGCACGACGAAGAGGCTGATTTGTTGCAGCAGTTTCTTCCAAAACTGATGGTGAAGTTTCATCAGGTGCTTCAGTAGAAATTTTTTGTGTTGCAACAGCTTCTTAAACTTCATTATTAATTAAGATTGGAGTTGATTGATGCATCTTCGAATGCCAAGTGTTCTCCTCATCAAAAACTACATCTCTGCTGGTCACAACCTTCTTTGTCAATGAATTGAATAGCTTGTATGCCTTGGATGCCTCGCTAACACCAAGAAAAACACATTTCTCACCTCTATCATCAAGCTTCTTTCTTTTGGATTCCGGAGCATGTGCATAAGCAATGGAACCAAAAACTTTAAAGTGATCTACTGCCCATTTCCTTCCACTCCAAGCCTTCTCAGGTGTCATATCTAGAAGAGCAAAAGTGGAACTTATGTTCGAGACGTGAATGCTCCAATTTACTGCTTCCGGCCAAAATTCCGTGTAACTCTTCCTTGAGATAGCAAGCTATGAACCATATTGAGAATGGTTTTATTCTTTCTCTGTGCCACACCGTTTTGCTTTGTTGTATAAGCTATTGTAAGCTCTTTTAGAATGCCAAGAGTCTCACAGAAAACATCAAATACCTTAGAGCAATATTTTCCTCCATGATCTATCCGAAGGTTCTTAATGGTCCTTCCAGTCTCATTCTCCACACGAGCTTTGAAGCTTTTAAATATATTAAAAGCCTCTGACTTTTCTTGCAGAATATACACCCAAGTCTCATGGAATAATCATCAGTAAAGGTGATAAAATACCTTTCGGCCCCGTTCGAGATTAGTGTTATTAGACCACAAATATCTGAGTGTACCAGCCCCAATACCTGTTTGTCTCTCCAAAACTTACTTTTGGGAAACTGAGAACGATGTTGTTTGACAACAACACATTCTTCACAAACTTGGGAGGGAACAACAATTTCAGGTAGCCGCGTCACCATACTCTTCCTTTGAAGGATATTCAACCCACCAAAGTTCAAGTGACCATATCGAAAATGCCACAACCATGAAGGGTTTTTCACTTCCGCCATAGAGCAAGATTGAACATTTTCAATCTTTAAAGGGAACAACCTGTTTTGACTCATTTTCTCAATAGCAATAATTCCTTTGGAAGGATTAGAAATTTCACATGTATAATTTCTTAAGATGATCACCTATCCCTTTTCTAAAAGTTGACCGGCACTTAACAAATTCCTTTTCAAAGAAGGAACATAGAACACATTAGATATGATTTTGACACACCCATTTTTTGTTCTAATATTGATATTACCCTTTCCCATCACATTCACTGTTGAAAGATCACCAAAACTAACTATCGACCGGAATTTTTCATTCAAATTAGTAAAAGAAGACTTACTTCCAATCATGTGGTTACTGCAACCAGTATGCACATACCAAATAGTTTTCTCTTCGGGCTCGTTTTCAGCATGAACAACCATTAACAAGGTTTCTCTTTCCTTATTCTCAACAAATTTTGTTTTTTCTTCCTTCTCATTAGGCAGCCTTTTACGACATTCAGAACGATACTGACCAAATTTATGGTAACGATAACATTCTATGGATTTTTCAAAAACTCTCCCTTTACCTTTGTCGTAATCATCATTGGCTCTAAAAATTCCATTGCCATATTTGTTGCCTCCATCTCTATTACCTCGATCTCCTCTCCCTCTCCCTCTACCTCATGCTCTACAGTTGGAAGAAATAAAAGTAGATGCCTTCAAGGCTTGCTCATCAGAAGTTGAATTTCGATTCATCTTTTGCTCGTGCACCAATAAAGAGTTTTGCAATTCGTCAAGCAATAAATCATCTATATCTTTGGACTTCTCAATGGAGAAAATGACATAATCATACTTCGGCGTCAAAGAGCGTAATATCTTTTCAACAATTGTGATATCGTTCATCTTCTAGCCATGGAATAACATTTTGTTGATAATCGCCATTGTTCTAGCGCAGTAACTCATTACAGACTCTCCTTCGTTCATCTGCAAGGTCTCAAAATCCCTTCTTAAGGCTTGAAGTTGTGCGCGCTTCACTCTAGTAGTGCCTTGATATTTCTTTTTCATGGAGTCCCATAAATCATTAGAAGTTTCTTTTCTTAGAATAGTTTCTAAGATAAGACGTTCGATAGACCAAAAAAGGTAATTTTTTGCCTTCAAGTCTTTTCAACTTTATTTCTTCAAACTCCGTTGTTTGAGCAATCGTCAAGGTTTCGCCTTCCGCTAGAGGAGTAATACCAACCTCAACAATTGACCAATACTCCTTTGACCTTAAAAAATTTTCCATCAGCATGCTCCAATGGTCGTAGTGACTATCAAAATGCGGAATAGTTGCTTGCACATAATTTCTCTCTAAAGCCATTAACTTATTGTATATTTCTCTGTTTGTCTTTTTATAATCCAACCTGGCGCTGATACCACTGATAGAAAAAAAATAGAATCTCGAAATATATCTATAAGTTAAAAAATGAAATAGAAGAGAAAGATAAATATTATTGAAGGATTTGTTTTTTGACTAAATGAATTAAAGAGTTGCCGATACAATTCTTTATATGCTAAAATAACTTGAAGCTAAAAATTAGGAACTATAATCCTAAAACTCGAAAAGCTGCCCACGTTTAAATTACTTCCTAAAAACTAGGACAAACAAAACATATAAGCATTTTATTTCTAACAGAACTTTAATTACTAAACTGAATTTTTAAAAACTAACACATTTTACCAGGGACTACCACAATAGGGTTTTCTAAGTCAGTGACCTACAGATCACTTCTACTGGTTATACAAATTTCTACGACCCATATTGTTCACTCGTGGAAAAATTACTAAGAGACAAAATTTTGGATTTAATTCTTACTGACCCATCTACAAGTCATAAACTTCTACGGTGATAGTTTTGACATTTAGAATAAACCTTTGGGCCTAAAAATCTCAATAATATTTCCACAGATGAGATCCAGGCTCCGTATATCAAACCATGAACTTTAGATGGCCCTATGGAAGGTTTTTGCCAACTTTTAAGAGAGGTGTTTCAGACAATTCCTAACCCATCTAAACCTAAACCCTAACTCTTTTACACATGAAGAAGGTTCGAAACAATATTAATGGACCTTATTACTCTCATCAATTCTTCCGAGCATTAGAGCAAGGATCCAAGATTATAAAGCTAGGTTTTCAAGCGTTCTTCAAGTATCGCCAAACACTTTGTTTGTCACGCCCCAAATCTACCCCTAGGACGCGGACATGGGACAAGTGACCCCTAACTAACCCTAGCGATATATCATAAACATAATAAATTAAACTAAAGTAAAGAATTACTGTGCGGAAACTAATCATAAGATAATCTGAAATAATAGGGAATATCCCATACTAAATCTGAATAAATGAAAACTCAAAGTTTAATAACAATTGGAAAAGTCAAAATTAAGTACTAAAACTGAAACTAACTATATCTGAAACTAACTATAACTGTATATAGATTTAAAAAGATAGTTTTACTAAAAATAGAGTTTAACTAAGTGTGCATTTTATTTCTTTGAAAGATCATCGGAGTACATAACTACTCCCTTTAATTCAAAATAATAATTATTTTTTCTATTAAATAATTATTTTATATTATTAAAGTTAAGAAGTTCAACAATTAATTAAATACGTAATTTATTTCTCTTGCGATTTATTTAAGAAAGGGTCAAAGGACCAAGGTCTTCAACTTTCAATTCAGTGATCCATTCATTAGCTCAAATTTTTTCCCAAAAGCCTCGACACAGCTAACTATTGTTCCGAAAATCCTGCCTATTGTCATCTTAAAGCACCCATGCCTTTTCCATTCTCCTTCGTTTTCAACAGCAGACGCACAACTCCAACAATATTTACCCAGAAAAGAACTAACCCAATTTCCAAATCTTCCGCTTAAATTTCCTCTTTTCTACCTCAAATTCGTACAGCAAGAGCGTGCTTGGCATGAGACCAAACACACGCGGAGCTTCCGGAGGCAACCATGGTATGGTCATGTAAAATTTCTTTGTTTCTTTAGAATTTCATATCATATTTGTACGATTCGAGCTCACTGGAGTCTGAGCCTCTAAGAAAAATTTTCAAAATATTGGTTTCTCTCACATAGAAAGTATTCTCAGAATTTGAAGGTTTTGGGTGCTATAAAAGCCCCTCTCCTCACTGTTCAAGCGAGGTTTTTCGACTCGAGAGTAGTACCCCTATAATGTTTGGGACTTCTCAATTCAATAATTTAAAGTTTTGTGGTTGTTCGAGTTGAAGAGGTGGAATCGTTTCTATTCAAACTCGTTGTTCGGTTCGCTGCTCGGAGCTGCGTAACTCTTTTTTTTTCTATTAGTTTAATTTCAATTTATGTTGTTGTCTTATTTGTTAAAGTCGACTGAAGGCTGGTTTATGTTTTCTTAATTTGTAAATATTAATGTATGCTTTTTCTGCTGAATGTTTCCTTATGTGTTATTTAAGTTTTGGATTATAACTGCTTGAAATGTTTGCTGTTTATAGATCATGTAGTTAGAGATGGTTCCTAGTATTGCTGATCTGAGTTTAAATTCTTTTTTGAGCTTTTTTTCCCGTGAAATGTGATTCCCTTACTTATTCGAGCTCATAAACCTATATATCTATAATTCTAGTTACTGTTATTATTATTCAACTTTTAAATCCATGTTATATAGTTGTTAATAGCTCACCATTGCCTTCTCGAGATGAATATAATGGGAGATAATGTTCTGCCGCTTCGAGTCTGTTTGGACGAAATGATATGATGAGCTTCTTTGTTCCTAAAATTTATTTTCGGCTAAATTATTGTATAGTTTGGATCTAGCAGATTACATTTACTCCATCTAGATTTTCTTTTTTGTCGTAGAATGCTTTGTTCAAATACCAGTTTTGGCACAACTATTTGTCATTCTTGTGGTTAATGTTAGCCTAGCTCAAGTCAAAACTATTTTTCTCTCTTTCGCTCGTTTATGGATCTTCTTGTTACTTCTGATTAAAAAAGATATAACCGAGTCATACAGTAATATAGTTTAGGTGTGTAACCTTCTGAAATATGTTATGTATTTATATCATAACACTGTTGAGATTTTGTTTTTTGCCTTAAGAAAACGTTTTTTACTACCACCTATGTTTTCTGTCAATAGCCTGAATCTGTTTTAAAAGCATTAAGTTGGTTTACTATTTTTTTATGAGCATGAAGGAATTTTGTATAGGATAAATTTAATTTCGGGAGTTGTTTAGATTATTATCGTCTTTAGTTCCTAGGTTTTATAGTCGTCTTTGTTGTATTGTTGTCCCTAACATTTGTTTCTCCTCAAGGAGTATCGCTTTGATCTTAAAAATGGAGATAGTTGTCAGTTTGCCTCTTCATTGATTTTAAGATGATTTTCCAGTAATCTTGTATTTCCATGCCTCGTTTTTTTTTTCGATATGTTGTCTCTGTTTTTTTCTTAAGCCTGATTAATCAGTTCAGTTGTAGTTAAACTTTGCATTCTAATCCTTTTCAATATGCATAAGTAGCTTAGTGTTGTCCAATTTATTTTCTAAAATTGATTTTCAATAACTAGCTTAGTATATGGTTTATTAAGTTGATCTGACCTGCAATTTGTTAAACTTTTAGTTAGCTTTAAGTTTCCTTTTTCCTCATTTTGATGTTCGAATTTGTTTCCAGAAGATTAGTTGATGTTAGGATTGGCTGTTCTTTTATCTATTTGTTGTTGTCATTTCTGAAATGTTTTCCAGTGAGCTTATGAGTGTGTATTTGTTCACTTAATCACTTTCTTTTCTTGTTCCAACTTAAATAAATTTGAATTCTAGGATGTCTGTTCTATACTTCTTTTGCTGCTGGGAGTAGTATGTTGGATTCTCTTTTGAATATCTCGATATTTTAGCGCTGTCTCCGCTCCTGTTTTGTTGTTGATAAAGGCTTGAAGTTTGAGTTTTGTCTAATCCTAGTCTGACTGCATTTTATGCCAATGGTTGGTAGATTTTGATTAGGTATAGAATGAATAATTATTATCTCATTTACTTTATATTAACTCCTTAGGATATGGTTTTAACTCCTACAAATGTTGCCTTCATTTTTCTAGGCATATTACTTGATTTATCTCTGCCAAAAAATGATTTTCAATGCCCATAAGAATGTTAGTCTAAACAATTTTGGAGTCCTCATCATGATATGTTCTTTTTACTACCTTTTAACATAACTAAGTTAATACATGTTACTGAATCTTATGTTACTTTAAAATGTTTAAATTTTGAGTCAAAAGAGATTGGAGCTTGTATACATCCATGAGTGTTATCGGGTTTGGTCTTGGCGTGATATTTGTTTGAATCTCTTTATGTATTAATTATAGGTATTGCACTCTTCCCATCATCAATTATTATACCTATTATTAGCCTGCATTCCTTAAGTCTTGGCTAGAACCTTCCTGCAAGTGTTATGTGATATGTTTTCCATAATTGAGATTGTTCATTTTAAGTTAAACTTTGACGAAAATACAAGCTTCATTTGATTTTCTGCTTAAAGCTGGATAAGATGTGTGCTTTCCTTAATTATCTAAAATTTGTTCACTTTGCTAATTTACTTTTTTTTCTTTTCTTTGTTTGTTGTAAGTGGCATCCGAATGAGTCCGATGGACTCCCCTCTCTTGCATTTCCCTCTTCTTCAAGTTGACCTCCATTCGAGTCATGAAAGGGAAGCATTAATTAATGGGTCAAAACCCAAATCAGTTGCAGCAACTAAGTGGCGCAGTAATAAAAATTCAAACGGCTGGAAATTGAATTTTGGATTTAAGAATCCAATTTGATTGTTGCAGTAGTAGCAGCAGACCCAAGGGGACTAAAATTGAATCTTTGGACTTAAATAATTACTACTTGAGTAACCAGCAGTAGCAGGAGGAACCAGAAAGGGGCCAAAATGCCCTTTTCATCCGGTTACTTTATTTCATTGTTTTTCACTCTATTTGTGAATATATCTTGGTAATCAATAACTTTTAATATTTTATTTTTGTCAACTTAAATGAATCCTTGAAGAAGTTTTTCTATTTCGTTTTTGCAAAGTTTTCAAATTTTCAAACTTTTTTAAGTTAGACAATCTGAGCTTAAAGACTAACTTGAGAATTATTTATATTTTTTTATAGTTAGTATTTAGCTTTTTAAATCCACGTCTAAGTGATTTAGTTGATTATTTGACTCAAAAACTTGACTCGAATAAATTATTAACTTAAAATTTTATTTTGGCACTTCTATATTTGAATTCTTTCATTATTCGGGTTACAAATGTATAAGTATTAAAAGATTTTTCATTTGAAAAAATAATAAACACATTTTTTATAATTAACTCTTTTATATATAAAATAAGCCAAACTTCTAAATCCGTTTGTCAACTGTGTGTTAGCGGATTCTCTAAAGTGCCTAAACCCTTCCTTAAAGAATTATTTGAACCTTATTGTCACGCCCCGAACTACCCCAGTGACGCGGACACGGAACCTAGGACCACAAGTGCTCCCAAGCTAACCCTGCTGGCATTATCATGAGCATACTAAAGATAATAAACTGAATGCGAAAGCTAAATCATAATTTAAAACTGAAAAGATGGGGAATACCCATATTCTATAACTGAGATATTTGAAAACAATGAGTTTAATACAAAGGAAATATTAACTCAATACTTAGTAAGTTGAAACAAACGATGTCTGAGATAAGCCTCTAACTGACTAGAAATGTTGGGACAAGCCCCAGCTGAGTCCAGCAAAAACTGAAACTAAATGACTAAACGATGAAATGAAATCATGACTATTGTCCTCGGAGAATAAGGACTCACCACTGAATCTAATGAACTGGAGATCAAAATATCGATCTAAGCGCGATCTTCTAGATGTTGAGAACCTCAACCTACATCACGAGAAGATATAGCGCATGTATGCATTAGTACTTGAAGGTACTGAGCATGTAGGATAGAGTAAACATGAACTAAAAAATAACTGAATAAGCACAAAAGTAAGTATAATATTCTGAACATGTATTACTGAATTCTGAGATAACTGGATGCAATGAACAAATTTATAACATGCTGAGATTGAATACTAACTGATCTGTAAATATGGTCAATGCAAGAGAGTCTGACTAAACTATGGGAGATACAATTAACCGACAATAAAACCACATGAGCAAAATATGGAGTCCGATGTATACGCCCCATCGAGAGGGAATCAAGAATTTGACTGAAAACTAGGGACCCAATGGGTGAAAGGAACCCATTAGTGAAATTCCACTTACCTGTTGATGAAATTCACAGAGAAATATTCAAATTTCGGGGCTAGAACTGCTGAATTTTGCTGCATTCTTGAACAAGAGTTATTCACCTTTTTCTCCTTTATTGCTTCTAATTTTCTTTGTTTTGATTTAATGATTTGACTTAGGTAAGTTTTAGTTATGTTTCTAGGCTTAAGCTGACTAAAATCTGACGATTTAGGGCTAGAGCAACGTACCTTATGGTTTAAACGAAGTGAGAAAAGGCCAAAATACACCTGAGATAATTGCTGTATGACCAAACAATGACTAGGACTGATGGGCCGTCGTTCAATTAACGATTCGTCGTTTGGGTCCATTCAACAGGCCATTACTAATACGGGCATAACAGTTTACTCGGAGGTCTGATTTTAGCATACTTGGTGGCTATGGAAAACAAATTCAATTATCTATCATTTCATAGGTGATGGGACACCTAATTTATTTTGTTCTAATATTTATGATCAATTGAAGTTGACCCAACTTCATTTCCCCCCTAACTGTCTACTAATTTTAACCTATGGTCAGACCTATGGTCCGTAGGTCCATCTACGGACCGTACTGTTCAATCGTGGATCTTGTTAGAGAGAAGGAAAATGGGGTGTTGATCGACGAACACAGAGTACAGACTGAGGTCCGTCCGTCATTCGTCACTTCGTCAAATTTTCTAGGCTGCATTTTTTGGAAGTTTTAGTCACAATCAATGGATGTGCAGCATGGGCCGTGGTTCAGGCTATGGTCCATCAATGGTAACCATTGATTACATCTGCTGATTTTTGAAAAGCTGATTTTTGGTTTATTTTGTATACGGGATGTTACATTATCTCACCCTTGGGAACATTCTTCCTTGAATGAACACTAAACTAGATGAAATAGAGGGAGAGAGCTGCAATCCCTACTACTATATACTGAGAACTAAGTTTCTGACTGAATTGAGTTTGAGAACATGCAAATTCGCTGAAAATGCTAGTATATACTGAGGGAATATGATTCTAAGACTGAAGTCACGCATGAATGATTGAAAGACTTAAGAGGAACTATTACCTCAAGCTGGAGTGAAATCGGAAGGAAAGAGGTGAGTATACTTGACTTTCATGTCTGCTGCTTCTTCCCAAGCAGCTCCTTCTACGGACTAACTCCTCCACAAAACCTTGACTGAATCGACTTCTTTATTTTTTAGCCTTCTAACCTGACGGTTAAGAATCTCAACTTGTACTTCCTCATAAGAAAGACTATCTTTCACCGCCACACACTCTAATGGCACTATAGATGATGGATCGCCACACACTTCTTCAAGAGTGAGATGTGGAAGACCGAATGCACTGTTGCTAATTCTACTGGAAAATCTAAATCATATGACATCTTGCCAACCCTTTTCATGTTCTTGTAAGGTCCTACATATCTTGGACTGAGTTTCCCTTTCTTGTCAAATCTCATCACTCCTTTCATAGGGACACTTTCAAGAAAACCAATCATCAATTTGGAACTCTAGTTCCTTTCTCCTTACATATGAATAAGATTTTTGACGAATTTGGGCTGTCTTAAGTCTATATCTTATGAGTTGAACTTTCTCCATAGCATAATGGACTAAATCGGCCCTATTAAAGCCGCCTCACCTACTTCAAACCAACCAACGGGAGATCTACGTCTATGCCCATACAGTGCCTCATAAGGGCCCATCTGAGTGCTAGAATAAACGCTATTGTTATATACTCAATAAGAGGAAGGTGATCATCCCAACTACCTCTAAAATCGATCACAAAAAATCTCAACACATTCTCTAGGGTCTGAATGGTACGGTCTGCCTGTCCATACGTGTGTGGTGAAATGCTGTGCTAAGATGAACTTGAGTACTAAGATCGTTCTGAAATGACCACCTGAAATGAGAGGTAAGCTGATTAGATGATAGACAAAGGAACCCATGCAACCTCACAATTTCATTAATGTAAAGCTTGGCATAGTCCTCTGCCGAATCTGTAGTCTTGACCGCCAAAAAGCGAGAAGACATAGTCATCATCTCCACTATCACCCAAATGGAGTCATGTTGTATGCGAGTACGAGGTAAACCTGTAATAAAATCCATGTTGATCACATCCCACTTCCAAGTAGGAATATGAATCTCTTGAGTCATACCTCCTGGTTTCTGATGTTCTACCTTGACTTGCTGGCAATTGGGGAACTTACTCACAAAATCTACTATATCCCTCTTCATGACATTCCATCAATAGATTTCCCGCAGATCCCGGTACATCTTAGTGGAACCTGGGTGAATAAAATATCTAGATTTATGGTCTTCTTCAAGGATATGCTTTCTCAACTCATCCACATCAGGAACACACAATGTACCCGGTAGCGAAGTACACAATCTCCCCCTTGGGAGAAAACCTCCACTCTCTAATTGTGGATTGCACCCTTAAGTTCAAGCAAGATTGGATCAATCTCTTGATTTTCCTTAACCTCCACTACCAAAGGATATATTGTCCCATTCTGAACTGTTACACCACTGTTTGGTATGCTTATAAGGAGAACTCCCAAGCGAACAAACATGTGAACATCCTTCACTAGCTCTTTCATTTCTTCCTCAACATGGGCTACACTACTCATAAAGAATCTGCTACTACATTCGCTTACCAGTACGATAATGCACACTCATATTATAATCCTTAAGGAACTCAAGTCATCTCCTCTGGAGAAGATTCAACTCTTTCTGGGTGAACACATACTGAAGGATCTTATGATCAGTGAACACATCTACATGAACACCATACAAGTAGTGTCTCCAGATCTTGAGTGCAATCACCACTGCTGCAAGCTCGAGGTCATGAGTTGGATAGTTCTTCTCATTCCCCTTAAGCTTTCTAGAAGCATAACTATAACCCTATCTCGCTGCATCAACACACAAACTAGGCTAGCTCTGGATGAATCACAATAGATCACATAACCATCTGAACCGTCTGGTAGATTGAAGACAGGAGCTGTAGTCAATATTATTTTTAATTCTACGAAACTTTTCTTATAATCATCTAAACACTAAAACTTGACCATCTTCTGAGTTACCCTAGTCAATGGTGAGGCTATGGATGAGAATCCTTCCACAAACCTTATATAATAACTCGCTATACCTAAGAAACTTCTAATATCTGTAACAGACGTAGGTCTGGGCTAATGTTTCACTTCTTCTATCTTATGTGAATCCACCCGGATCCTTTCGCTAGATACAATATGATCAAGGAAAGCAATAGATTGCAACAAGAGTTCACATTTGCTAAACTTAGCGAATAACTGGCAATCTTTATGAGTTTGCCGAACAATTCTCAAATGACTCACATGTTCTTCCTCATTCCTAGAGTAAATTAGGACATCATCCATAAAGACGATAACGAACAAGTCCAAGTACTGTTTGAACACTCTGTTCATCAAATCCATAAAAGTTGTAGGAGTACTGGTTAGTCCAAATGACATAAATGTAAATTCGTAATGACCATGCTGGGTGTTGAAGGTTGTTTTCGGAATGTCACTATATCTAACTCTAAGATGAGATAACCCGATCTGAGGTCTATCTTTGAGAAATGACAAGCACCCTGAAGTTGGTCAAACAAGTCATCAATCCTTGGGATGGGATACTTATTCTTGATTGTGACCTTGTTCAACTGTCTATAGTCAATGCACATTCTGAAAGAACCATCTTTCTTCTTTACGAACAACACTGGTGCTCCCCATGGTGAAATACTAGGTTTGATGAAGCCCTTATCTA